AATGAAAGGCATGCATGCTTTCCTCTAGCATGTGCATATACGAGACTGCAAGTTAACCAATATGAATAAATCAGCCTACACTCTCCTCTATCCGTTCCTGAAACACACAATCATTTATGCATATCTAGTCCATATGGCTATGTTTTACTTGTGTGAGCAAAGCCATTTGTAAATACTTTACTTGACATCTCCGGGGAGTTTATATACAGAGCTCACATGTTTTTTGAAAATTATGTATGCATGTGATGTGGGATAAATAGCTGAAAGCTCTGAGGATTGCACATGCTTTCTTTAATGAGAAATATAGATGTAACACACACACAAAAAGAAAAAAAAACAGCTTAAAAATACCTCACACGCTTTGGAGGATTTCCTCATGAAAGGTAACAAGTGCACATATTTTTTTTTTTTCCTCGCCCTCTCCTCGTCTTTTTCATACATCATCCGTCTCTGTGACGTACACAGAAACACACACACAAAACCCTGCGCCGTGTTGCTACCTGTCAAGCTGTCTCCGCTTCAGTGCTGTGACTCGTTTTCCGATCTTCAGTCTTTGAAGTGTCACCGTGCAGATGATGATCATCAGGGAATTGTACTCACATCTCATTACTGACATTATGAATCGTCTCTCTCTCGCTGTGCTTATCTGGTTTCTATGTGTGCATTCCTTCATGCTCAAATATAGTTTTGAGAATTAACATTGATGCGTTCTTGTCATTTATAGTCACTGTGATCACGTTTGAGAAGCCTGTCACAGTACTAGTATGTTTATTCATGAGTGATGGGCTGTTCCGTGTTGTGGTTAATGTTGCTGTCATTGGAAAATGGTCCGCGTGGTTTTTAACTGTTTCCTCGCTTTGTTTGATGACTTTGATGGATTTTTTTTTTCTTTTTGAGTTTTACGTGAAGGTACAAAAACAATTCAGCATGGAGTTTAAAGTAACAGAGTTTGCTGGCAAGTAACGTCAAAATAAGACAGGTTTTTAGTGTAAGCTTCAAAATAAAAGCTTCATCAGGCACTCCTTGAAATACTTGGAAAATAACAAATTTGAACCGTAGAGTGTTATTGAAGGATATTTCAAGATATTTTTACTTTTGCGACTTAAAAAAAATAAATAAATGTTGCAAATCAAGGTTCGTAAAGTTACCATATATGGTATCTTGCACATCTACAGTTAAAATAAAAGGTAATTTATAATAAATAAAAGAAAAAGTAACAAACTGTAGAAACATTTTAGTAATGATACTTACACAACCAGTAACAAAGTATTTACAAAGTGCTTGGAAAGTTAATTTTGTAACATTTCTCTTGGGGTAGTGGTGTTACTGGCACTAATCTCAAAAAAACAAATCAAAGTGGAGTTCAATGCAAAGCAGTAACAAAGCGTTTATAAAGTTCCTGGAACATTTCTTTAGTAAGATAGTGATATTGGCCTTAATACAAAACCCAAAACGTGCACATGGTTCTTCAACCTCCAGCAGAGGCACAGGGTGGACATATGGAACGTTACCAAATATGGCCACTTGCCCCATAAAGGGTTAAACTGACTTACTTGATTTCTGATGTTACACGTATGAAGAAGCTGATTAGTGAAAATGACAAGTATGCAAACAGTGTCTACCACAGAGCCGAGGCTACCTGTAACAAGATGAGGAATGTCCAGAGTCCCCCTAGTGCCAGCTGAGAGGGGATAAAAAAAAAAAAAAAAGCGTGTAAATCCGTGTCCCCAGTTTATAAATCATGCTCCTGGATCTGTAATCCATGTGCATGGATTTGCAATCTGTGGGCACAGATTTTCAGTCCATACGCATGGTTTTGCAATCAGTTGTCTTGCCAGGGTAATTACCCTCTGATAGGAAGTGTGCTCCTCGCCACAGGAGTGTGCATGCATTCGCTGAAGGTGGATTTTGACCTGAGGAAAATGTTGCTGCAGCGCGCGGAAGTCCAGTAATACCTCGAAAACAAAAATCAACACGTGTATGATGAACATACGGAGCCCCCCCCAACAAAACATGTGTAAATCAGTGCTCTCTGTTTGCAAACTTTGCTCTCAGAATTCGTAATCCATGTGTACGGATATGCAATCCGTGCTCACAGATTTTCAGATGATGCGAATGCTTTTGTAATCAGTTGTCCTTACAGGGTAATTACCCTCTGATAGGAAGTGTGCTCCTGGCTGCGGATGCACTCGATTCAGTGAAGGTCAGCTTCGACCGGCAGAAAGGATGCTGTGACATGTTTGGATCTATGAAGTCCTGAAATACCTCAAATAAGTCACTAATAAAATCAGATAAAAAAAGAAAAATTCAGCCTAAATCTGCTGACTGGGAAATTTTCATGCTAATTTATCTAAAATGTGTTTCCATTGTTACTGCTACTTGTTGCCATAGTTTGGTAGGTCGCTTATTAATGATTAAAGAGGCCACAAAGAGGTCACATTTTGTCTGTTTTGATTGCAATTCCAAATCCAAGAGCGCCTTTTATAAAGCAACAGCAAGGAATTACACATGACTTTTTATTTATTTAATTTAACCTGCTGATACTTTTAATTGTTAAGTGCATGGTTTGTGTCAGACAAACACCATAACTTTTATTATTTGTTAAATCCCCCATATTACTGACTGTGGAAATGAGTACCCCAACAACAGGGTAAATACAAGAGTTTCTTCCGTTGTTAAGTGTCGATGTGTTATTTCTCCAAACTTTAAGTAAAATCCAAACTACTTTCTACCAAGAACCACACCTGCTTATCATTTTTTTTATAAAGTTAAACTGTCCCCAAAGCATTCCCTGAGGATTTAAATGCCGCTCCGATTTGTAATTTTGCAGTCAGAGATGAGGATTTTTAACCTATTGAGTGATTTGAAGGTTGCACATTCTAAAATGGTGAAGTCCTTATACAAGCAACACTTTATTAAATTTTCTCTCCATCAGCTGTTGAGGGTGCTCGTCGCTATTAGCTTGGCGAGAGGTAATTAAGTTCTCCACTAAAGCATTAGCGGTGGAAGAACAGTTCGCACTGTGCTGTCGGCAATATGATTACATTCCATATTTTCTGCTCCACAAATGTTTATAGCGGAAAGAACAGACGCGATCTGTATTTTTTTTGGTCTCCACTTTTAAGCTTTGTTGTTTTCAAACGTAAATGAGATTCATTATTGTTGCCAACTGTTTGATGCCACGATGAAGAGTACACTAATCAGAGTCACCGGATCTGTTTTCATTACCCTAAATCAAAGATTTTCTCCGTTTTTCTTGTACACTCTTTAAGGTTACCTCCCCTAGGCCCCCTCTTCCCACGTTAAACGCCTGCATACTGAAATTAGCAGCTACTGCAGTCATGAAGCAGCAGTGGCATGAGTCCTCTGTAGTTTCCAATGAGTGATGTCTTTTTTTTTAAAAGCGGGGCGGAAGGCGCTCTTGCTTGCAACCAAACCTGGATCTTAAAAACATCATATTTATTACGATTGTTCGCTCAGCTCATCTGCTTCATGAGGATCTTTTCAATGTGACCTGGTCAGATTGGATTAGTGGTCTAACAGCCCACACAACTGTCACCAGATCTGATGTTTCTAAATCCTGATTGGTCTTTAACCAGCTTTAAACCAGCGACAGAACACAAAGAAACACAAAAATTCCCCAAAACCTTGCTAGAAGTCGAGGATCAAGCAGTCGATTAAACATTTCTTGCGGCCTCTTTTGCCGTCAGTCATGAATTTGGCCTCCTTGACCCCATCGAACATCTCTGTAGCTGCTCTTATGTCTCCCATTATGCTTCCACCTGTCTCTAGTGACGAGAATAGAAGTATATCCAGGGGTTAAACATGAGGTTAATGCCCAGCGTGAACCGCCAGGGTAATTAGTTCAGTTAGAATCTTTATTGATCGACCTCCACACTCAACCTTCTATTGGGAGCATTTAGAGCGAAGTGAAACGGAGGGGGGTGGAGGGCAAATAAAGGTAAGAGCGGAGCGATTTAGCAAAAAATAAACTACACAAGGATCTATTGTATGAGATTCTGGGCACTCGCTTTCCCAGTAACTCGTTGAGCGTCGAAGCAATTAAGCATTTAGTGCCGCGTAACCTTTGTCGACCGTTTAAACCACGCTGGTTTTTTTGTTAACCGTTCGCCAGTGCGACCCTTTTTTATTTTTCTTCAAGGCCTCCAGACTCTTAGGGTGTTCTTCCAAGTAAAAGGGAGATGGGATGGAAAGAAAAAAAAAAAGAACTGAACAAAGAGAGCGTTTAGAGTGCTAAACACGGAGAAGAACAAGTGGGGTGACATTGGCTTCTAATGCCAGCCAGGGTAAAAGAGCCTGTCAGTGTGCATGAGCGCTGATCACTGAATGTTAAACCTATAGAGTGAATGGGCCAACTTGATGGGGGGAAAAATGTCTCCCTTCTGAAACTTCCTGTCCCTTTTTCACTGCTTTTTTTTTTTTTTTTTTTTTTTTTTTTTTTTTTTTTTTTTGAGTTGGAATTTACTATGGGGCTACAAGGTGGCGCAGTTGGTTAGCACTGTTGTCTTGCAGCAAGAAGGTCGCCGGTTCGCGTCCCGGTGGGGGCACCGGAATCTTTCTGCGTGGAGTTTGCATGTTCTCCCCGTGCAGCGTGGGTTCTCTCCGGGTTCTCCAGCTTCCTCCCACAAGGTCCAAAAACATGTTGAGGTTAATTGGTGATTCTAAATTGGTAGGTGTGAATGTGAGTGTGCTTGGTTGTGTAGCCCTGTGATAGACTGGTGACCTGTCCAGGGTGTCCCCTGCCTTCACCCTGAGTCAGCTGGGATAGACTCCAGCCCCCCCGCGACCCCAGTGAGGATTAAGCGGTGTATAGATAATGGATGGATGGATGGATGGAATTTACTATAGGCATGTGCAGTCATGTGACAGCATTTTTTTGTTGTTTTGTTTTGTTGTTGCATTTGTCTTACAGTCACTGTTTATGTCCCCTGTGCCACCTCCCTCCCCCACCCCACCTCCCCCCTTCTCTCCACCTCCAGGGAAGCTGGCGCAGAAAACTGGGGCACAGAAGGCTGCCAAACGCTCGCGTCAACCACTGTCCACACCAAATGCCTGTGCAGCAGAATATCCACCTACGCCGTGTTAGCGCAGCAAGCTAAAGACCCGGTGAGTCACCAGTGCATGCCTGATGTAGTCTATGGGACTTGGTGGGGGGGGGCTAACAAGGAAACTACTACCAGGGGGCAGGTCAGTGAGCTGACGAATGTCTGTACTATGAATTTACCTGGCGTTTCTGTCAGACGGATTGCACTGTAAAATACAACATCCTCCTCAGGCTGTCATTTATTGTCTTTATAGAGAATTGTAGACGCTTGTGAGACTGTTTGAATACGAGGCATCTTACTTTATAACAAGCATCTTTTCTTGAGAGACAACCGGTGCCTCGTGAGCCGTGCCGTCAATTTTGAACTTTGTCGCAATTCTATACACGGGTGCTATTTTGATCGCTTCATCTTTGCTCGTCTAATTACGCGACGATCGTCATCCACCGCAATGTGCAACTTTTCGGCGCTTAAGCTCGATAAAGGTCAGGTTGTTCAGTGAGCCGCTGCCATGTGATGTGGAAGAGAAGAGGCGTCAAAAGAAAAAAGGGAAGAGATGTTTATTGCGTCTGCGTGTGATTTTTTTTTTTTGCCTGCAGCACATAACCTGTGCTTCTATAAATACTTCACGTGGCTTGCAGTTTGACGTGATTAAAGAAGGGTTTTTTTCACAGTTCAGGGTGACGCTTGTTGAGATTTATTGGCCAACTCTTCTATAGCGCACTAATGGTCGTCCAAACACCTCAGAGCTCGTGGGTCACATTCTTCCCAGAGCCACCGTCCTCATCCAAAAGATCCTAATGCATTAATTACACAGCATCCCCATTTATTTCACACCTTTCTTCCACACTACTTAATTCAGTTTGTTATTTATACTCTTATTTTCTTGCTACCCTTGTTTTTTTTTTTTTTTCGCCATATTTTCTGTTAATGTCTTCCCTGGAGTTTTCCTTCTTCTCCTCCTCCTCCTCCTCCTCCTCTTCAGCAGCCTACTTTTGTCACTTCCTCCACACTCCCTTTCACCTTGTTAACACTTTCAGCTGTTCTCGCAGCTCTTTGACTGCCGTGGTCACAAAAAATGCTCCCTTAAGTATTGGCTGTTAATTCGTCTCCATGCTTGCTTGCACCTAAGGCCCGAGAGGACAGTGATTACATGAAATAATCAGGGAGTGTGAGGAGATGGGGTTTGGTTAAATCTGTTGTCACACATTAAATTTAATGAGAGCTTCTCGCGTGATTTTTCTCTCTCTTAGCGGTTAGTTTTAGAAAAAGGAACCCGATCCCTAGTTAAGTATTGGAGGGTAACTCCGTGTGTCACTGAAATGGAAAGTGATTGTGAAGAATGGAGGATTTCGGGGGGAGGAAATGTTCAACCAAACGGAAAAGGCAGTCTGGTCTCAGCTGGCGGAGACGGAAAGATGGAAAGTGGATGTTGTCTACGCTCAGTAGTAATGCATTAACAGCCAGTGTTGCTGAGATAAAGAGCCGTGCGCTTATGTGGACACCTATCCCTGCGTAACCTTTTCGGTGTCGAGCATCGCGTCTATATATCTCTCTCACTTGGGTTGCGCATTTACTGTTTGCGTTTTCAAAAACACATTGCTGTCTGTTGAGTTTTTTAGGTGTCCTGACATCAACTTTGCTGTTCTCAGGAGGCAGTTGTTTTTAAAAGAAAATATCTCTTAAAAACCTTGCAAACTATGTTGTATTTTACCCGGACAGGACCAAAGACCAGAGAGTCTATCTCATGAACACAGAGGAGCTAAAGAGTCAGATATTTCCTTCAGTAGTTGTTAGAGACCAAAAATAGACTTTAAAAAACAACAGAGAGCGACTGTTGGACTTACATACACAGTGTGTTTTACCGTTTCAACTTTAAGGCGGTGCTGTGCCAGTGTGTTGTTCACTTCTGCACTTCCAAGCGTGCAAAAAGAAAAAGTCAGTTTAACGATATTGTTCATTTCTTAGCTTCCGTTGCAATAATGAAAAATCCAGTCACACCTGAAAATGGAAGTTGTAATACAGTTAAATGTTTTAGTTTTGCAGTTGAGAAAAAAAAAACCCCGTAGTGTCATGGTTGCCAGATTCACCCAAAATTGACACAGAATCAGATCATTTAATTGAATTTACTCAAGCTGAAGACTGTACTTTTAGTCCTCTCAGCAGCGGCCCACTGTTAGCTTTCCGCATACAGCATACTTATCCTTTGTGATTGGATTTTTCTTACCAAAATGTACTTTGGGAGTCATTTAATTCTAGTTTTTTTTATGTCCATGGACTTCCACCTTTGACTTTATAATCAAAGAACCATTCATTTTCTAAGTGTTGCAATTGTTCATCATTTAGTGATGATTCAATCGCGAACGTTTCATGCCCAGATTTTGATAACGCTCCAACTGTGAGTCACTTACCATTGTCTGTTGGGAAAATCAATAGAACCAAGGGAGGCAGAAACAGCTCATTCAGCTACGTAACTACACCATGATTATTTGTGATAATAGAGACCAGACAAACTAGCACAATGTGTTTTCTTGAAGCAGGCGGCTGCCTTAAGTTAATTTTGATTGGTTTAGAAGTGTCTAAATGGTGTCAAATAGGTCACAGAGGCAACTGGACTTCTTTTTGTTTATGGTTCAGTCCAGGATTACCATGACCTGGATGACTGGGAATCTACTCAATCACGTCACAGACTAATGCTAAAGCAATGGAAGGTTAAAGGTTCTTGGCATTGCTAAAAATGTTTAGCAATTCTGTTTCTGGTTACCTCCAAATTTAGATGGAGCCGCCCAAGTAGCAGCTGTCTCGAACTTTTGCTTGGAAGGATAAAGCCATTTAATCCAACCAAACATGGATAAGCCAGATGTACGCTGATGACTCCGCTTTGTACCTTAACTTTTGCGTGACCTGTCTATTCTCTCACAGCAAGTTGTAGGATTCGCAAACAACCTGCTGCCTTGAAAAGCTCGAGGTCTCTTTACCACACTGTGTAGAAGTTATTTTATTCCCTACTTGCCTCTACCCCCTGTTTTTTTCCCCCCCATTCTTTTTTTTTTATTAAGTCCAAAAAGGGTCAAAATAAGGTGATGGCCTTCAGGTGAGCAACTGCGGTTATTCATTATTTTGTCCCTCTAAGCTTGAATTACTTTACAGGGGTCTGAAGCCTATTACAGAACTCTGGGAAACATTAATTCCCATAATATAGAAAAACATGATGGCTATGACCTATAAGCCGAACGGGTCATTCGAGCTGCTGTTTCTGGTTCCTGTGACTCCTCTTCCAGCTAAACAATATTGACTTTTCCCTGCCACACAGCGAGCAGGTCGGCCGTGTTGAGCGAAAGAGGGCTAGGAGGGAAAACACATTGACTTTTGTGGCATTTGTGACATCTGTGAAGAGTGCGTTGGTCATTAGCGATTCATCATTCAGCACCCCCCCACTCCCCCCAGTACCACCATTAGACCCAGTGCAGAGGACCATAAGGTATAGGTCAGTGTATTTGTGTCAATGGCTCTCAGACAGGAGCTGTTGTGTCGGCGCTGAGTGCACTTTGTTGCTTTAGGGTGCTCCAGAGTTAGCCTTTTACTCCAGCGGAGATTGGATTGTATAAAAGAAGAGAGGATGAGCGGAAGGGCAAATTGAATTTGGCTAAAGATAAAAAGAAAAAAAAGAAAAAAAAAAACCATCCAGACATGCAAACAGAGGCATCCATCGACACAGGATGCATGCACTTAAAAACGCTTATGCGCACCAGCATCGACGCACACGTGAATGAAGGCGCTCAAACGTGCACAGTCGTATGCAGGCGTCCAGGCTGTGTGGCTGTTGGAACAGAGCTGAGTATCAGCAGCCCAGCTCTGACAGCTTATCCTGGGCCGCGGCGCTAGGGACAAGGGGTACTGAGGATTAACCTCCATGTTTAATAGAAAAGGGAGGGAGGGGGGAGGGGGGGAGGTGAGGGAGGGAAAAAAAAGGGTGGGGGGGAGAAAGAGATGGAAGGATTTAGAAGCAGTGGTACCATTACAGGCTGTTTACAGTGGAGCGAGGGATAGCCAGTTAATCCTGTTTACTTTCTATAGCCTTTGAGATTTCCGTGTGCGTATGTGTGTGTGTGTGTGTGTTCCGCTGCATGTGTTTGTGCGCCGACAGAGAGACCTTCACTATCAGACACAATGCAGAGGTTTCTTTACTTCTGAGAACCAGATGAGGGAGAGACGGGGGGGAGTTGATTGAGTGAGGTCATGAAGCAACACAATACACCAAGCCACTTTAATTCTTAAAGTGACTGCAGTGGGAACGCGAACCCTTACGGACGCGTCTGGACTCATTGCCTCCTCGGTGCTCACGGGGATCATTGGATTTGGAGTTGAAAGAGGTATTGGCTTTATAAAAGTCAGTTTAACATTTTGCGCCTGGAGTCGATAAAGTGACTTACACCTCTCTCTCTCGCTTCAGTTTTGTCGGCGCACAAAGCCGAGCGGCGTTGACGTGTAAATTAATTACCGCTTCCCAGCGCCTCCCGTACCTGCAGCGAGGTTCATGGCTGGCGCTTGCCTAAGCAGGTAACCAGAAAGTTCAAACAGTGCCCAAGACCTCGATTCGGTCGATGAGTACACAAATGCATCGACGAGGAGGAGAAAAATAACACAGCCGGAGAAAGGGAAAGGTTTTTTTTTTTTACTCTGCTTTTCCATAACTTATTTATAAGCCAATTACTGTATCAAAGTAATTTTCTCCAAAGAACAATATGTGAAGTGATGTCTTTTCTCACGGCTTCTTTTACCTGCCACGCTAACTGCCTTTGGCCCAATCATTCTCGTGAAATGATTGGCTCTACTTGAGATGAATCGAGTCCATTTCGTCTGCTATCATTAGTGCTCAAGGCACCTAATCAGAATGGAAACATTTAACAGCTGGGTCTATTATTTAGACTATTAATGGCCACTGTGCCTGATTCGACTGTGGAAGGACGATTGGGATGACTGAAGCGCTGCAAGATGGCAGCTCATATTTTAACATATTATAATTTTAACTGGAGACAGTTTTTAGAAAGAAAATAAGGTCCG